GGGGGCGGATCCTGCTCAAGTCGCTGGGCTTCATTGGACGGGGTTTGCACTGGGAGGGGGGGTGGGGGTGGGGCTCTGCGTGCTTCCTGGAGGGGGGACCGGCCCCTTAGCTGCCTCTTCTCTGCAGCTGGGGGGCTGGAATGTCACCGGCCCCTGGGAGGAGGACAGCTTCAATCAGACCCTGCTGGCGCTGGCCGCCTACCACCACATCTCGCCCTTCTTCTCCCTCTACGTCAGCGCCGACTCCAAGAACTCCAGCAGCAACATCATTCAGGTGGGTGGCGGGGGGGAGCCCCCCTCTTCGGCCAGCGTGGGGCAGTGGGTGGGTGGCAAAGACCGGGGAGAGAGCCCCCCTGCCAACTGCGAAGGAAGCACCACCCGTGTGCCACCCTCTGGGCTCCGGGATGAAACGGCGTGCCAGTGTGGGCCAGAGGGGAGGGCTGTGGGCACAGCTGCGTGGGCTGCGGTGCTCGTGTGCCTGGACCGCAAGGGCTCGGCTGGCTTTTTCCGCTGGGTGCCTCCTGGATGACTGTCTCTCTCCTCCCCAGGTCGACCAGTCAGGCCTGGGCCTGCCTTCCAGGGATAACTATCTGAACAAAACCCAAAACGAGAAGGCAAGTGCCATGCTCGGGGGAGGGTGGCGGGCGGGGAATTCATGTGGCCGTCACCTTGAGAGCAGAGGGGCTGTGAGTCATTCTGTGTGGGTCTCTGCCGCCCTTTGCCCCGGGCACAACGCTCGCCAGGGCGGGTGGTTCACACCTTCACTTGCCAGCCCGTTGAGTGGCACGTGTGGGGACCTGCCCTGTCTTGCCAGGACTTGACGACAAAAGCTCCCGTGGAACTCCACAGTCTGCTGTTGCGTCTGTAGTTCCGCGCCACAAAGACATGTTGGCGGCTAGCCTCACAGCTGCTGGTGCTGGTGGCCCATCCTGGAAGCTGGGTTCCCAAAGCCTGCTTGGGGGTGGGTGGGGGGGAGGCCCTGTTTACTCCAGAGCTCCAGCACTGGCAGCGTCTGTCTTCCTCTCCACCCTACCCCCCAGTTCCATCTAATGTTTGTCTCCCCTTTCCCAATTAGTTGCTCAGCGGACCTCCCTGTCGCTTCCTTTTCTTCCTTCCTTCCCTCTTCCTCCCCCTCCCCCCCCCCAGGTGCTGGCAGGGTACCTGAACTTCATGGTGCAGCTGGGCATGCTGGTGGGGGGGCAGGATGAGGCCACCGTCCGGCAGCTGATGCAGCAGATCCTGGATTTTGAGACCGCCTTGGCCAACATCACCACTCCCCAGGAGAAGCGTCGGGACGAGGAGGCCATCTACCACAAGATGACGGCCGGGGACCTCAAGGTGGGGAGCCCGGGGGCCTTCCTGACTCCGACCCAGCACCCCTGCGGGCGAGAGGGGCCCCCAGCCAGCGGCTGGCCCAGATCCGCCTTCTTTCTTGAACCCCCCCCCCCCCGGGGGGGGGGTCTCTTGCGCTGCTGCTGATCCTGGGAGAATATGCCGTGACAGCCACCCACGCTGCAGGCCACCTTTGCAACTCTGTCAGTAGATCAAACGGCAAGGAATTTAGAAATTAAGTCCCGTCGTTTGAAGCGGCTGTACTGCAGGGAGAGAAATACGAAGTGGGTGCGAAATGGACAACCCTGGGGTGGGGTGGGGGGAGTTGCAGGCACATGCCTGGATTCAGCCCGTACATTTGCTGGGGTTCCTTCCGCTTTGACACACACACACACACACACGTTTTCCATGATCCTCAGAGCCCTGGGAGCTGGCTCTGCCCACTGCTGCCACCTGTGTGTGGTTCTGGGAACAGCCGTTGACTCTGCCTCTGGGACTTCTCCCCCCCCCCCCCCCCCCCCCCCCCCCCCCCTGCCCCCCCCCCCCCCCCCCCGCCAGACCCTGGCTCCTGCGGTCGACTGGATGCCCCTCCTCAACGCCGTCTTCTACCCGGTGGAGATCAACGCGTCGGAGCCAGTGGTGGTCTATGCCAAAGAATACCTTGAGCAAGTCTCCAGCCTCATCTTCACCACAGACAAGCGGTGAGCCAGGGCAGGAGTCGGGTGGTGTGTGTGTGTGTGTGTGTCCCATCCCGATGCCTGCCGTGTACCTGTCATCTGCCTTGCTTGGGGGGCTCGCATCGGAGGTTGGAGGGCTTCTGGGTGCCGCGCTCAGTCTTCTTGCCATGAGGAGGCTGAGGGGCGGTGGCTGCCGCTGGCTGTGCAGAACGGGGGTTGGCCGGAGGCCGGGGGGGGGCTTTCTGCAGAGCCGAGCCTTCCCGGGGGGTTCTGGGAGATGGTGAGAAGGCCGCCCGGCCCGCCTGCTCTCTTCCAGCCTCCTGCACAACTACATGATTTGGAACCTGGTGAGGAAGACCTGCAGCTTTCTGGACCAGCGTTTCCAAGATGCTGAGGAGAAGTTCATGGAGACCATGTATGGGACAAGGAAGGTTGGTGGAGGAGGAGGAGGAGGAGGAGGGCCACTGTTCCGTGGCAGAGCTCCTGCCTGGCGTGTGCAGGGGGTCCCAGGTCCAAGCCTCGCCAGGCCTCCCAGCTGCCTGACTGTTGGTGGACGGGCATCTGGTCCCTTTAACATGTGAAAAGAACAGAAAATCCCAGCTGACAGCTTCCTCTCCCTTCCCCCCTCCCCACTCCTGGGCCTCCCCAAATCTGAAACGCTCCCCAGATTTCAAGAGTGTTTTGCTCTGGGTATCTGAGATGACCCAGAACAGCTCATTTCAGCGCGGATAAGTCCACACGGGCCTCCCTAGCCGGTGGTCCCTGGGCCCAACCTCTCCTCCTGGGGCATTTATGCCGAGTGAGTGTCCCTTAAGTGGCAGCCCCACACCCTCGTGTGGGAGCCCTGTGAGGCAGGCCTGGCAGAGGGACAGCTAGCGAGGGAGCCGGGGGGGGGAGTGGGGGCTGGAGCCCCCCTGCCGTGGGGGTGGGGGCACTGACCGAGGGGGGGCTGTCCTGTCCCTGCAGACCTGCCTGCCCCGCTGGAAGTTCTGCATCAGCGACACGGACAACAGCTTGGGCTTCGCTCTGGGCTCCATGTTTGTGAAGGCCACCTTCGCAGAGGACAGCAAGGCCATCGTGAGTGTCTCCCCCTCCCCCTCCTCCCAAAAGCGGGGGGCCTTCCTCATTGGCGGGGAGGGGCACTCCCTTCCTGCAGCACCCTGGCAGGTCTGCTGCACTTCCCTGTTGCTGCTGCTGCCGCTGCCGAAGAACCCTCTGGAATCCGGGACCTGACTCATCCCGCTCACCAGCCCAGCCTGGTCCAACCCCAAGAGTGGCTTTGGCTTCCTCGGGGCCACTTCCCAGGGAAGCCAAGTCTCCCTGTGGCATTCCAGCCCCTGACCCCCTCCCCCGCCCCGCGGGTGCAAGGGGGGCTGCTTCCAGGTGACTAGCTACTTGCCTCGGCTGGGAATTCCCGGTCCCTCCCGTGCTGAAAGAACAGGGCGGGGGGAGCACTCCAATCCCAGCTGTGGCACCCCTTCCTTTGGAGGAGCGTGGCTCTCCGTGGCCGAGGCTGAGCTCTCCCCCTGCAGGGATGCCCTGGCCAAACCCCCTCGCCTGTGGAAGGGCACTGGGGGGGGGGCCTTGGGCTGCCGCCTGACCCCACCTGCTTTCCCTCCCCGCAGGCGGAAGAAATGATTGCGGAGATCAAGGCGGCCTTTGAGGAGAGCCTGGCCAAGCTGCCGTGGATGGACGAGGAGACGAGGAGCGCGGCCAAGGAGAAGGCAGACGCCATCTATGACATGGTCGGCTACCCCAAGTTCATCCTGGACCCCAAAGAGCTGGACAAAGTCTTTGCTGATGTGAGTTGGCACAGCAGCCGAGGGGTGGTGGTGGTGGAGCGGACTGGCAGGTGGGGGGGGGCGCGGCTGTTTTGGCCTCTCCCTCCTCGCTCTCTGTATTCTGATGCAGTTTGCTTCTCGGCAGTACGACGCTGTGCCTGACCTCTACTTTGAAAACGTCATGCAGTTCTCCAACTTCTCTGCCCGCGTGACAGCAGACCAGCTCCGGAAGCCCCCGAACCGCAACCAGTAAGTCATGAGAAGAGGGGCCCTGCTTGGTCAGAACGAGATCGGTCTCCGCGTGGGCAGCCAGGGGCCTGCGAACAAGGGGGGGCCCAGGCATCGGCTCCACCTCCTCCGTGTCCCCAGCACCTGCAGCCTGGAGGTACACTGCCTCTGGATAGGGAGGTTCCATCGAGCTTGAGTGGCTAGCAGTGGTGGAGAGGCTGCATCTCCGTGAACCTGCCAGTGGCCCCCTGGGGTGGGGCAGCGAACTCCCCGAGCTGTGTGGTGCGGCTGTGAGAAAGAGCCGCCTTCTGTCTGATCTAAATCTACCCGCCTTCAACTTCATTGGGCCAGTCCCAAGTTCGAATTGGAGGATGGAAGGGAGAACTCTCTCCGCTCCGTGCAGACTTTTAGGGACTGGTCTGACATTCTGTCCCCCACACGCAACCCTCCCCCCCCCCACTCTTGGCCAGACACCGAGGCCTGCTGCCTGCCGGATCATTGAGACGGTCCTTTCCTGAGCGGCCTTTTGGCGGTGGAGAGAGATCCTCCCTCCCTAGGGGAGAGGGGGCTGGCTTTGCCAGTCCAGGCCCTTCCAGGTGTGTGGATTGACAGCCCTGGGGGGGGGGGACACTGGACGGCACGAACAGTAGCAAAGGTGTGTGTGTCGCCCCCCCCCCAATTCTTGCTCTCTGCCTCCCCCTGGAGGGCAGCAAAGATGGTGCAGGGCCTCGTGGACCAGTCAAGAGAGCCCTTTTAGGCAGCAGAGAAGCAGCTGTGAAGGGGGTGTCTGTGCCCCCTGGGGTTGGGTTCCAGGCGACAGATGTCGGCTTCTGGGTAACCCGCCAAGGACCATCTGGGCCAGGATGCCCCAGAAACTGAGCACTGGGATTTCCCTCAAAAGGATGTTGGATTCGGGGTGTGTATGTTCTTTATTTGTTGGGGAGGGGGCTGAAGGAAGTGAATTGGCCCTAAGGGAAGTGGGCTTGGGTGAGTGGGGGATCCCTCTGTCCCCTCTTGGTGACCCAATCCCAGCTGCACAGAAAGAGGAGAGCCCACCATTGCTCTTTTTTGCTAATTTCTTCCTGTTTGGGGTAATTGAAATAATTAATATGACACTTAAGAGATTTTTTAACAAAGCATCACATGTTCGTGGGAACCCTGGCTGTGACCGCCTTGGTGCTGGTGTCCTTCCAGGAGCCCCCCCTCCCTGCCCGTTGCCACCTTCAGGCACACGCCCCTCTCGCCTCCCTTCCCTTTTCACTGTGAGAGAGCGACAGCCCTGCCGGGGCCACTGGGAGGAGGGGATCCGGCAGGCCTTGCGAGGGGCGTGTGCCTGCGTGGGCGCCAGCCAGGGGGGCGGTGCGGCTTCTCTCCATCCATTGGCGGCTTCCTTGCAGGTGGAGCATGACACCCCCGACCGTGAACGCCTACTACTCCCCTACCAAGAATGAGATTGTCTTCCCCGCAGGGATTCTGCAGGCGCCCTTCTACACCAAGAGCTCCCCCAGGTGCGCGAGCGCCCCCCTGTCCTTCCCTGGCCCCGGGGGCTCTGTGGGGAGCAGCAGGGCCGAGGGCGTCGGCACGCGGGCACGGTGCTCGCTCGAGAGGCGTGCCCCCAGAGCCAGGGCGGGGGAGAACGGTGGGAGAGCACGTTCTCCTTCCCGCCAGCCATCGGGGGTCAGCTGTCCCCGGGGTGCGGGCGGGGCTCCCACGAGGCCTCCCCCCGCCCTCCGTGCCTCGGGGAGGCTGAGGGCTCGTGCCTCTCCTTTTTCAGGGCGCTCAACTTTGGTGGAATCGGCGTGGTGGTGGGCCATGAACTGACTCACGCCTTCGACGACCAAGGTGGGCATTCCCCTTGCTTCTCTGCCCCCCTGGAGCTGTCTTGGTCCTTCGGCTTCGAGGGCTCATGGCCTCTTGCCGGCAAGCTGCCAGGGCAAGAGCATCACAGAAACGCTCAGCAGCCCCAAAGCCACGACTTGCCGGTGGTCTCTTCATGGTCTCTCCTCTGCCGGTCCCCGGGCCAGGCTGGGCTTTGCGGGCGGGGGCCCTGCTGGAATCCCTGAGGAGCCTGGCTGGGCGCGGCACCCGAGCAGCACCGTGAAGCTGCCTTCCTGCCTCGGGCGTAGTGCTTCCGCCTGCCCGGCCCAGGCCCTCCGTCCGAGGGCGCTGCTTCTCTCCTTGGCAGCCCAGTCGCCCTAGGAGGGGGTGGCTGATCCGGCTCACTCGTTTCCCCTCCTTGGTCCTTCCAGGCCGTGAGTACGACAAGGACGGCAACCTCCGCTCCTGGTGGAAGAACTCCTCGGTGGAGGCCTTCAAGCAGCAGACGGAGTGCATGGTGGCCCAGTACGGCAACTACTCCGTCAACAGGGAGGCCATCAACGGCAGGCACACCCTGGGGGAGAACATCGCCGACAACGGGGGGCTCCAGGCTGCCTATCGGGTGAGAGGCCGGGCACCCGTCGGATGCCTGCATCGCTCCCTCTCTTAGAAGCCGGTGTCTGCCGGGAGGGCTGCGGGTGGGACACTAGCGAGGTCCCCCCCCCCGCCGTGGGACTTGGGCCGCAACACAGTTAGCAGAGCAGCCGCTCCCTGTCTCTGGTGGGGCTGAGGCTGCCTTGGAGCCCTTCCCCTCATTCCAGTCGTGCATGTGGCCGGCGGGGGGGGGGGGGGGGGGGCGCGCAACCATCTCGATCTCCGACCCGTCTGAGCACGAACGAAGCTGCCTTCCAGGGAGCCAGACCGTCAGTCGAACAAGGTCAGTCTTGTCTACTCTGGCTGAGCAGCTCTCCAGGGCCTTCGAGGCAGAGGGAGGTCTTCCACCTCACCTCCTCCCTGGTCCTTTCAGCTGGAGAGGCTGCTGGGGGTTGAACCTGGGACCTTCTGCGTGCCCAGCAGAGGCTCCGCAACTGAGCCACAGGCCCTTCCTGACCGTGGCTACACCCTTTGAGAGCCAGCTTGGTGTCGTGGCGAAGTGCGCAGACTCTAATCTGGGAGAACCCACTCCTCCACGTGCACCTGGCTGGATGACCCTGGGCAAGCCATAGTTCTGGCATAGCTGTTCTTGAGAAAAAAGAGCCGTTTCTGTCAAGAGCTCTCTCAGGGTGTCTGTTGTGTGTGTGGGGGGGAGGAGTTTGTCAGCTCCTCTGAGACACCTTTGGGTGGTGAAGGGCCATGGGGTATAAATCCAATCTCTTCTTCTTCTTCGCTGTCCCTCTAGGCCTATCAAAACTGGGTGACAAAACACGGGGAGGAGGAGACCCTGCCGACCCTCGGCCTCACGAACCACCAGCTGTTCTTTGTGGGCTTTGCTCAGGTAGGTGACTTCTGCCTCTTCCTCTTGCCTGGGGGAGCAGAAGAGGACCGGCTACGGCCGGGAGAAAAGTCTAATAAATAAATCAACAAACGGCGCCAGGGTGGGGTGTGGGTCCTGGTCTCAGGTGTGGGGGGTGGGGGAATATCTGGAACAGCTGCTCTTCCCCGAGGGTGCTGGTGGTTGAAAGGGGGGGGGGCACTGAGCTCTGCTGCTGAGCTGCCTGTGGGGAAGGTGGAGAACCAGTGGTCAGGCAGAGGAACCCCAGGGAACTGGTCTTCCCGAAGCCGCCACCAACCCACCGCTCGAGGGCATTCCTCTTACGTCTCCCCGCCCCCAGGTCTGGTGTTCCGTGCGGACCCCCGAGAGCTCCCACGAAGGACTCATCACCGATCCTCACAGCCCCTCCCGCTTCCGAGTCATCGGCACCGTCTCCAACTCGAGGGCCTTCGCGGAGCACTTCCGGTGCCCGTCCGGCTCTCCCATGAACCCCCGGCAGAAGTGCGAAGTCTGGTGACTTCTGTGTCCAGGCGGGCAGAGCACCTGACGGAGGAGACTCCGCACCGGCTCAGGATCGCATCCTTCAGGAAGCAAAGTGGACCCGGCACCTTGTGGGCAGAGAGGACCGGCTCTCCGGCCCGCCTCCCGGAGCACACCCCGTCCGCAGGCACTGACCGGCACGCGCGCTTTCTTCACGCCCGGCGAGCAAGCGCAGCCCAGCGCTTCCCCAGCCATTTTAAAGGGAGAATCACTTTTTAAAAACAGGCAGCGCATCTAACTGCTCCGGTTCAAAACAACGCACAAACACGTGCGGCTGGATAAACACACACACCAAAAACCTGCTGTGAGATGTACTTTTCGGAAACTGTTTTTATTTTTTTTTTAAATCTTGTGGAACACTGGAAACTTCAGGGGAAAATCTATTAAAATGGTTTATATATATATATATATATAATATATATATAGTTGAAGAATTGGTCGATATATTTGTTTTGTGGGCCATTGCTCCCGTGAGGAGAAGCCAGCCTCTCGGTATCTACTGTCTTCTCCTCCGTCTCTGTCTCTCTCTCTTGCCCCGGCCTCTCGTCCAGAGTGGGGGGAGGAGGGGGGCTCCGGTGGCGGTGTCTAAGTGCCACCCCCGTGGCTCGTCTCTGGAATGCAGAGTCTCCATCAGGGAGTTTGGTGTCGTGGTCAAGTGCGCAGACTCTAATCTGAGAGAACCGGGTTTGATTCCCCACTCCTCCACTTGCACCTGGCTGGATGACCTTGGGCAAGACATAGTTCTGTCAGAGCTGTTCTTGAAAAAGAGCTGTTTCCGTCAGAGCTCTCTCAGCCCCACCTGCCTCACAGGGTGTGTCTGTTGTGGGGAGGGGAAAGGAGTTTGTAGGCCGCTCTGAGACTCCCTTGGGTAGTGAAAGGCGGGGTAAAAATCCAATCTCTTCTTCTCAGCCCTTGCTCCCGGCACATGTGCCTGCTCCCCCCCCCCAATCTATTGACAGCCTAGCTGCTCTGCCCCCCCCCCGCCTGAGCGGGGGTTTGGGACAGGGAGGGGGTGTGAAGCTGTTGCCTCTGAGGCCCTGGATTCTGAGTCCCTTCCCCCCCCCATCTCCAGGTCCTGACGGGTCCCCACGCATCCTGCAGCGATGCACGCCTCCTTCGCCCATGTTGCCCAGGTGGCATTTATTCCCTGCAAATGTTGTGCACGTGGTCGGCGTGTCCGTCCCACCAGCAGTGCCTGGGCCCCTCGTGACTCATTGCTGAAGCAGAGGATGGGCCGGCCTCGCCAGAGGATGGGGCAGCCAGCGGAGGGGCCGATTCCCCGGAGGATCCCGTTCTGGACCCCGACTGGCGCTCTCCAGGGGCTGTGGGTGTGAAAGTGGCCCTGCTTGGCACTGCCCACCTGCTCTCTCCTGCCCTTCTCAGTGTTGAGGCTGGCGGTGGCTGTCCTCTTGCCCTCTGTGGCAGGAGCCCCCCTGGTGGCTTCTGCTCACCACCACCCCGCCAGGCAAAACACAGGGGAGGGCAGGCCTAATTTGCCTCCTGTGGTCCTACTGCCTGGGAGCGGGTCCAGCATTGCCAGCCAATGGCTGGGGCTGTGCTGGCACCCTGGCCCTCCTTTGGGCATCTGGTTCTCCTGGGTGCTGTTTTGGGGAGTTCTTGGGCAGCTGGTGGTCCTTTGCTCCACCAAACAGGCTGTGGTGGAGTGGGCCTGCTCCGCCCGGCCCTCCAAAGTTTCCCCAACACCTGGAGAGGCTTTCCTTTCTCAGGTAGCCTGGCACCACCTGACCTTTGTAGGAATTGCCCGATGGGAGGGCCAGGGCTTCCAGCTCCCCTTCCAAGTTCTGAGACCTTGCCTCTGCGTCTCCCACTGCCCAGCGCCTGGTCACCACGGGGGCTGTGTGCTTGTTGTGCCCTAGAGGAATCCTAACCCTAAGTCAGTACAGCCTTGTGCACCTTTGGAGGAGTAGCCACTGAGATGGTGGTCTATGTGGTACTGGGAGCCATTGCCAACTGTTCACAAGCATACTTTTAGCACAGCATCAGATTGAGCAAGGGTTTCAAAAGAAATGGGTAAAATGCAAATCTTCTCTCCCTCTATCTATACATGCCCTGTCAGATGTTAAAATATAGGACAGGCTCTTTAATCTTAGGAAGTTAACATCTCTCTACAGTTGCCATTCCTTTGACGTTTCCTTCAGCTCTCCAGGCGAGCACATGGCCAAATGGCTGCTTCCTTCAGACCTCAGTTAAGAGTTCTGTCTGCCCTGATGGACCCAGCATGAAAAAGAGCCCTTCTCTATGCTGCAAGGAGTTTTTATCAACCCCCTTTCCCCCACCCATTGACCCAGTCAGGCCAGGTCAGCGAAGCTCTTCCTGACATCTCTAGAATTTTCCTTCCTGTAGCCTCTCTAGAATCCAGTTCCTCCAAATCTCTGCTCCCTGCTTGGAGAAGGCGGGGGAACTTGACTCACACATTACCTCTCCTGCTAGATCTATTAGCATTTGTATGCAGGTAAGTTGGAAAGCAGTTGGGCTGCCCCACCCATTCAAATAATAAATAAATAAATAAATAAATAAATTCCTGCCTGTTCTCTGCCCAGAGGAAAATAAACTTTTAAATAGACACTCAGAGTGAAGGTTTTGGTCCTTTCAAACCTCCAAAGGAAACACGTATGTCTTCACAGAGGCACAAGTGAGGCAGAGAGACCACAGGAAGGTCCGTGGTGTTGTACAAAACTTCGGCCCGCCTGTGAAGCCGTGTTATGCTGCTGAAAGCTGGCTTTCCGCTGAGAAGCTATCCATGTGGGAGCGTGGCTGTCGCACTCCAGCGCTTGCGAAGAGACTTCTGGAAAGCAGCGGCAGCTGCCAGTTTTTCCGGGCCCTGGGGCTAAGTGCTCCTCCTCTGCCAGGTCTTCCGTGCGCAGCAGCAGCAGCCGCCATGCTAGCAGAGCCCCCCACTTCCTCCACTCAGCAAGCCGCTCTGCTGTCCCCAGGCGCCCCTCCCTCCCTGGGTGTCCTGCGTCCGCGTGCATCTGGTGGCAGAGGCCGTTCTCTGCTGCGGAACGGTGTGCTCTGCTTGGGCAGCCCCACCCTTGAGAACAGGACGTGAAACGGGCCGGGAGCACATTTTCTCCTCTTGTTGTGCTACATCCGCACAGTGTGATAGCCACATTGCGGGGGGGGGGGGGGGGGGGTAGGAGAAGAAGAAGAAGAGTCGGTTTTATACCCTGCCCTTCACTACCCAAAGGAGTCTCGGAGCGGCTTACAATCTCCTTTCCCTCCCCCCCTCCCCACAACAGACACCTTGTGAGGTAGGGGGGGCTGAGGGAGCTCTTTCCAGGACTGTGACTGACCCTAGGTCACCCAGCTGGCTTCCCGTGGAGGAGGAGGAGTGGAGAATCAAACCGGGAGAGGGAGTGCACCTGGGCTGTGCTTTGGGAGATGCCTCCCTCCCGGCAAGACTCCTTGGTGGTGCTTCTGTGAAGTCAGAGGAGCAAAGGGAGTGAGGCCATGGTGTGGAAAGTTGCGCTGCGGTGTGCAGGAAAGTGTGGATTTGCGCACTGCCTGCCTGCCTGCCTCGCAGGAGGTCCCCTCAGCTCCAGGCGCTGGGCCTCCAAACGGGGGCTGCCTCCTCTGGTGTTTGCTGCTGCACCAAAGGTGGCCTCGGACCCCCTGGAACCCGGCAGGGGAGGCCAGGAGTGCCGAGGCTGAAGCCAAGTGCCTGCCTGCCCGCCCACCCGCTTCCCTGGTCCTTCCCACCTGTCCTTCCTGCCTGGAGCCAAAGGGGGCAGCCGGACCCACTCTGCGCTTAGGAATCAGAACTGGGTGCTCCGCGAGCGGATGACTGCCAAGATGTGCCGCTGAGCTTTCCACAGGGTCCACTGTTGGCGGAGGGTCCTCCTATCAAAACATGCCAGGTTTCGTAGGGGCTGCTGTTGGAGGAATGGCAAAAAGGTGGGGGGTGTTAGGTGGTATACGGGGAATTTCTCCCCCGCTTCTTTATCAGCTTCTGTGTCTTGTAATTGAAATAAAGAGTGTTCATTGAGGTTTAACTATTAGGTCCTGCTTCCCCCTCCCTTCACGCTTTTGTTCTTTCGTGTTTCTGACTTAGCAATGTTCACATATGTGTTGTGTTTTATTGTTTTAGTTTAAGGTGCATAGGGGCTGCGGTGGCTCAGAGGTTAAGACGCTGAGCTGCAGACTGGAAGGCCTGTCGTTTGGCAGTTTGAGACCCGAGTGCCGCGTGATGGAGTGAGCTCCCGCCTCTGGCCCCAGCTAGTCACGCTGATCACATAACCCAAGAAATGTCTTCGGACAGCGCTGGCTCTTCGGCTTGGAAACAGAGATAAGCACTGCCCCCCTAGAGTCGGATTCGACTGGCTGTCGAGCAAGGGAAACCTTTACATTTACCTTTACATAAGGGCAGGATTGAACCTGGCTTTAACCTAATTTTAGTTTTTCAGTGTAAGGGGAGTGCTTCCCCTTTCAGGAGCCCCAGGGTGGATGGGAGCCAAACTCAGGCCTCCCTGTCTGCTGTCTGGGCCAAGTAGAGACTTGAACACAGTGCCCTCAGCCGTACACCACTGTAGCTCTAACTAGTCCCTATTTGCATGGGCAGGAGCTGGAGAGGCCCAGTTAAGTGCCTGATCTTAGTACACTATGTGCTATAAAGCAAGCACCGAGGGGTACCAGTGGCCCAAAGCTCAACAACCCAGTTTGAATGCCCACGTGTGTATGTGTGGCGGGGGGTTCAATGCATGGGCACATACCTCTGCCCTGGTTCAGTACAGCCATTTCCTATGTATTCACCCCTCATTCCCCCCCCCCCGCTCACTCCACACACACTGAAATAGATCAAAACATAGAATCATAGAGTTGGAAAGGACCTCCAGGGTCCTCTAGTCCAACCTGCTGCACAATGTAGGGAATTCACAAATACTTCCCCCTCCACCACCACCCCAGTGACCCCTGCTCCATGCCCAGAAGATGACAAACAACCTCCAGGATCTCTGGCCAAACTGGCCTGGGGAAAAATTGCTTCCTGACCCCAAAGTGGCAATCAGCATTCCCTGGGCGCATTAGAAAGGGCCACAAGAACTAAGCACTGAGACAAACCTTTCATAGAATCAGCATTGCTGACATATAGCCATCTAGCCTCTGTTTGAAAACCTCCAAAAAAGGAGAGCCCGCCACCTCCCAAGGAAGCCTGTTCCACTGATGAACCGCTCCAGCTGACAGGAAGTTCTTCCTAATGTTTAGCCGAAAACTCTTCGGATTTAATTTCGACCGACTGGTTCTGTCTGGGGCAACAGGAAACAACTCCGTACCCTCCTCTAGATGAGAGAGCCCTTCAAGTCCTTGAAGATGGTTCTCGTTATCCCCTCGCAGCCGTCTCCTCTCCAGGCTAAACAGGCCCTGCACCTTCAGCCTTTCCTCAGGGGTCTTGGTCTCCAGACCCCTCGCCCTCTTCGTTGCCCTCCTCTGGACACGGTCCAGCTTGTCTGTATCCTTTTTAAACTGTGGTGCCTAAAACTGAATAGCTGAGGCCTAACCAGTGCAGAGCAAGGCAATGCCATCCCTTCACGTGATCTGGATCTGTCTGCTGGAGCCTCTTCATGTGCCCCCCCCCCCCACATGGGGTTTTGGCTCCAGAGGAGACCCAGGCCAAACAGGGAGGAGAGTCCACCCTCAGCCCCTTCCCTGTGGCGGCAAATACCATACTTCCAGGTCAAGAGCGGTGGGCTGGGATGCTGGCCCCACACCTCTGCCTGCTATGGAAGAGAAGAGGGAGGCAGGCAGCGGCTGTGGTCTCTCCGTCCTCTCTCCCGTGGGCCCAGTTTTAACTGCAGCCACACAGAGGCAGGCCCCTAAATGGGGGAGGGGTGCCCACCCCCCTGCGATGATGCACAGGGCTCTCCCGGCTTGCCAGTAAGGAAGAGCTTGCCCAGCACTGCAGGGTGGAGAGGTGGATGTGAACTTTTAACGGAAGTAAGAGCTGCCTCCTCCTCCTCCTCTTTCTGAGACAGCACAGCTTTTGTAGAGGCACAGCAGAGGGGTCAAAGTCCTCCTACCCACGGAAGACACAGCTGGGCCCTGGTTCACTTCTGTGGGGTGCAGGGGTGAGCGTGGGGGGGGGGGAGTGTTAGGGACTGCTGGGAAAGCTGGAGCCCAGTACAGGCCCAAGGCAGCGGGAGGCGCAGGAAACGTCTGCGGAAGGGGACACCCCCACAAAGCCTGGAAAGTGCTGCCGGTCTTTCTCCGAGGTGCTCCCACATGCGGATTTTGCTCTTCCTCATGGCAAGCCTCAGGCCTGCCCCCCCC